AAAATGCGAGTCGTCCAATATCAAAGGATTTTCCTGTGCTATTTAGTAGGACAGAACCAAATTTTTGATGAACATGCATTATGCTATGGAAGAACTGCAAAATATGCAAAAAAGTGTAAAAAAATATCGCTTCCAGAATTGGTAAAGCTTGTCCGAAATTTTCCAGAAGCAGGTGAGGCCAAGTTCAGAAGGAACGAAAGCCTTATATTTTAAAAACTATGTTTAGATTACCTGTGAAGATTTTTTGCACAAAATTCAGTAACGAAAATTTTTTGGTCACCTTTTGTTTTACCGAGTAGCCTACCTGTTAAATAAGCAAAGTGTACATATACGGTACCGCAAAGTTAATGTAACACAGGCCTTATTAAATATAACTCATATGGAAATATACTTTTCCGTACACTAGACGTTCCCTTTATGCGTTATTTGGAATCGAAACAGACAGAATAATTATCATTTCAAAAAACGGCCATATATAGTCACTTTTTTGTATTCACAAGCTTACAGCAGATCTTAGCGGTAGTCCACTATGGCGGAAAATAATCCATTACAAAGGGCAAAGTAAGTTCTTTCATTTGCAGTCACATTCAATAATTTGTCTTCAGGTAAATTAAAAAGGGGTCAGAAGTCTCCAATTTAATTTTAACATTACTTTCGAAAATGGTAATATACACAGAAATGCGTCAGTTGATTATTTGATTAAATCACTCTTCTAAAGAGGCAATCTATTCTAGAAAGTTTTTATTAATCTTAGTAATAACAATATCAGATTGGTGTTGCGGTCGTTCGTTATGCTCGACAATGTGGTTTGCTGCTTTGAAGCATTTCTAAATGCAGTCCTCATCGCCATTTGCATGAGAACCAATATCCAAAACTCATTTTTCGGTAAATGCTCTTGATGAACATCTTATTTTGAGGGTCTTGATGGGGCAAATGACGAAAATGGCAAACCCACCTACACGAACATAAAGCGACAGTCCGACCACTTGAACCAAACTCGAGGCTCACAAAATATATCGGAGAGACTGGCCATGACGTCGATATTCATGGAGCAACAATCGTAGGCCGACGGACCTTAAAAGCGAAAAGACTGACGCTCGAAGCCTGGTACTAGACGATAACTCCAGCAACAGGCCCTTGGACCTGCTCGCGGCCTACAAAGTCCTACGCCATTAGGTGAGTAAAGGACAGGACCAGGTCAAACCAAACTTGGTGTTTGCAAGCCAAGACGGCCCGTGAAGGGGGCGCAGAATTACCAGCATCCTCTACCACAAGGACGGAAGACAACGCTAACTGACGTCAAGTCATGCTAAAATCCACACGGAGGGCCAAGCTGCGAAGGCAGGTAAAAATCAATCAGCCCATGTTCATCACGTACAGCTACAACTTTGATTTGCTAAATGATAAAATCAGTTCACGCTTTGACAAAGGACAGCAGGCCCAGCTGTCCGAAAAGGCGGCGAAGAAGCAAACGCATTCCGGTGAGCACAATATGATATTTGAGTGAAAACTGCTCTCGTTTCATTGGCTACTAACCATAATCAAAATTCAATTCTGGCTGCTGAGATGTCAATGCCTCACGTCTGCGGAGGCTTTTTCATGAGATTTCATACGATCATGAGCGAACTTTATAGACGTTTTATTATCTTCTCATTCTGAAGTGCCTTTATTGTACTAGCCTACTTTACCCCTTTACCTTATGTTCCTAAACCGTTTTTCTCCTATGTTCTTTTCTATAGAGGAGGCTCATGGAATTCTTCCCCATTTGCGTCTCATGCGTTTCTTTACCACCCATCTTCTGTTTCATAATAATTTTTCGAAGGGAAAAATTCTGACTACATCGTTTCTCTTTTATTACCCTATTCAGTGCATATTAGGATAAGTTTGTTTCAATAGTATGGTTGTTTTAAGAATGCCTACTTGGCGTTAATCAAAAAAGAATAAAGTTCGAAAGTAAGTCACATATGGCACGTATTTCCGTAAACACGGCAAAAATAAACCTGAACACAATCACTTTGTCAAGTACTCTTCATAGTGTTACCAGCCGAACTAATCAGTAGTCATATCGTCCCATATAGGCGCGTACGTTTCTTCCTTGTGTGCTTCCTACTGCGGTGCTTGTCTCTATGACTAAATTTGGAACCATACCGCAGAAAGCAAATCCCCTTCACTTTGCCCAATAAAGTCTGTACACTCTCACTACTGCTTCATCACGTTTTACGCCGGCGAGCAAATAGGAATACTTTCGAACGTATCGTTTGTGGGCTACATGGCCGCCAGTCGGTTAACGTACTGTTGGTCAGAGAAATGATACTGTTGAATGTATCATTCCTGAAGTCCAAACCTAACTGCAGACATCTACCAAACCTCAGTATGTAGGGAACATATATGCATGAATTGCAGTGGCCAAATCTGTTGTAGAAAACCCAATAAAATGAAAATCAGTGAAGCTCCTTGAAATCTCCTATGATAATGTATTTGCAAATGATTGGGGTAAAACGACGGTAGGTCTTTTAGTAGGCATTAATTTTAGCCTTTGGAGGATAAGGTCTTGAAGGGAGTTCGTACTTAGCACTATGTGATTATAAAAATAGAACTGAGAGGAGCGAAACTTATTTCAAGAGAAGACGTTTGTTATCCTCCTCATACAAAAACGAACAGAATGTGACCAGCTGAATTTAGCAAACAAAAAACAGCTCACTGATCTCTCCAGCGGCGTAAAACGATCTTTTCAAAAGACCTGGTACATAATAAAATTAAGTCTCCGTTTTCTATTTTTAGAAGTATGCTCGCGGTGTTTAAGAACGGCATGGCGTGAATTGACATTTAAGAGCAGACTATCAAAAATCATGATATCGACACACCAAATAGCTCAACCTAAGACATCTACTGAATATTCAGTAAAAGGTAACAATCGGGATTTTTCAATTCCAGCAAAATTCGTTTAACGGAAATTGCTTAATAAATCCATGCACGAGATAAGTTCCGAGATAGAAAAAAACACCGCTTTTTTGCTATTATTACTCTTTTTTCGGATAATTGTTATCAGGGCTTTATAAGAGAAAAACCGAATAGTCAGATGAGTGCTGGATAGGTAGTAAGAAGAGGAAACCTTTATTATTGTTCGTATGATCCCTGCTGGCACTTATTCCACAGAGAAAACGATAAATATCTTTGGCAAACATACATATCCTGCCACAGAATGCAGGTATCATGGGAAATTTCAAACATGCAATGGCGAACGTTTGTTACCAGGGGTTTTGCCCTCGTTTTCAAATACTACGGTTTCTCAAGTGATGTTTACAAAAGTATATTCGGAAAACAAATGTTTTCTGCAATTCATCATTGTGCATATATTTCGTGACAGTTGCTCACCCCATGAACGTGACACTGATTTTCCTTCCGCGTACACGACCTATGACCAGCATTCACAACTTATCCTATTTTCTCTCCACAAATCCAATAATCTCTATGTACCCATCTCACCATGCGTGCCGTGTGAAAGCGGCAAGTCCTTATCATAATACTTTTATAAATTCTGCCAAACTCCCTCATTTTGATTATTAATGTAATCGTACAGGCCCCGTGATGAATTGCCGAATACATAGGTGTACCAAATATACTTTTGATGTTTCGAAGTTAACTAGGTTCTTTCGTCTTCGTTGTCTTAAAAACAACAGTGTTGAGTATTCAAACTAGAAGCAAGTAGGATGCACTGTATGCATGCATAAAAAGAATATTTTAGTAAACCCCCTTGCAAGCAACTTATTTGCAGATGTAGATGCGATTTTATGCACATTTTGCTAGTTTATTAGATTTAAATGTAATCACTGCACTGACGTTGATATCAGTTTATTACTCAATCTGAGAATCCATTTTGTATAATTACAGTGTAAAATCGTCTGACTATTCAAGGGTAGGAGATTAGCTGATAACGTGAAAAAGGGTCGAGTGTTTTTTCTACATTTCTAAGAAATAAAGAAACCCCTTTTCTCGTCAATAAATGCTAAGCAGTACATTTTTGTCTGGACTTGTTATGATTACTAATTATCTAGAGCGTCCGCATGCTTGCTTGCTCTGCTGGCCTGTCTTAAATATAATAATGACAATTTTACTACAAACAAGGAGGCATATGATTAAAAGTAAAATAGTCTTTCAGGTTTAGAAGAACATTTACTCTTTAAAATGCAACTGTCCTTTTAAATAAAATAATAAATTAAAGGCTTTCAGAAACTGAACTCACTCCAGTTTTTGTAAATATGAAGGCAATCATATAAAATAGTATGCATTATTTACTTCGTGCAACAATTAACCACTGTCAGCCATTTGTCCGCTCACTCCGTAAATTTATGAATGGTGCACTGAACTTCGTTAGGTGGAATTGCATTTCCAAAAATAACTTCGGAAAACTTTAGAGGTTGCGTCTTTGAAAGCAATAACTTGCCATTTGTAATAAATCCTTCAGACAATTGGCAACAATGAAGTTGCCCAGCAACCCCAAATAATTCTAGCCCTAGGATTCTGTCTTATGCTACCAATGGGATTAGGGATTTTGTGGGTAGGTCTTATCAGGGGAAATAAAAATAGAAATAAAATGGAACATATAAAAGCAGAAAATAATATGCATTTTTACTTAAATAACCTTATGTTTGTCGAGCGACAATTAAAATGAGAAGTACAGTCAATAGGAAACGAGAACTGTACCAAAGTACCCGCAAATAGGATACAACTTTATGCATATTCTTGAGAAATACTTAGGCGAGGTTCACGCGATTAACAGTAAACAATATTTTTAAAGGAGAAATCAAGGACGAAGAATACAGTTAAATAGTCTCGTTCCTAACGAGGATATACTTTTCTGCATCCGTCCCAAATCTATGACTGTCTTGCCAGTTTCTCTAACATACAAGTGTTCAAGCCGTCATATCAGCAACAGAACCTGACATACTTAAATGAATGACTTTGGAAGATAATTAGTTTCGTATTTTCATCGGAGGACATTAATCATTGAACGTGAACTTACTGGCGCTGGCTACTTGAAAGCTGTTTTTTAGGTCTTCAACGTGGACGATGCGCTGCTTTATACGAAAATTTTGCCAAAGGAGTGACGCAGAACTGGGGAAGTTCATAAAGGCCTGATATTCTGAGCTACCACGAGCAGTGGTCTCGAAGACTGCGCCTGAGCAAAGAAAAATCAAATTTGGTATGTTAAAGCAAAAATGGGAGTGTGCTGTCTTAAATAGTTCTAAACATATCACCTATGGGAGCTCAAAGTTGCTAGTTTAACCAGAGTGACTTATTAATATTTGGAGGACGGTTAAGCCCGACAGGTTCAAATGAATACTATATAGAAAACCTGAACTCCTTTTGATATTGAAAACAACACGAGGAGAATATGTACTAAGTTGAAAAAGGCTTATTGCAATTCCTTAAGGACTTTCAGTATCGTTTAACCATGAGGTTGATCTTAATTGACAAAAAATGCTGACACTCAATGACAATAAATGAATACCTCGGCAGTTTGGCCACAGTTGACCCTAATTGGTAGTCTGGACGTGAAAAAATCGGCTGGAGAGGGACCCATAACTTCCTTATGAAACATCAGATTTTCTTTTGTAAGTTTAAGGGTCATCGAGGCGGTTAAGGTTTTCCTAATTAAGAAAGATGAACTTTTTTATTGTTGATACTCAAATACGGAATTAAAAACGAGATGTAAGTGCACAAATAAAGCACTCCACAAATATGATGTCTAGTTCTGGGGCAGAAGATTTGCATGGAAAATTGAAAAACAGCCTGCTATGCTCAAAATATTTTTGAGAGTGTCTGTAGAATACATTTTCTTAATTAAATTCCAGGACTGACTGCAAAAGCGCAATCTTGTTTTCTCTTATAGAATCTGGTACGTTTTGAAATTCTCCGTTTTACCGAGCTCAGTTAAGCTAAATTTTCAAATATATTTTTGAATAGGAAACAATTCTTCAGTTGTTTCTTAATATTTCTTCACTAACAGAAAAATCGCAAGTTGTTTTGATGCATTTTTGATTTCATTATATATTCAAAAATAGTGTATACGAAACGAAGGTAAAATACTTTGTCTTGTATTCATTTGATTTTAGATTATTCCTTAGTAAACCCTTATACTCATCCATTGGGTATGTTTAGGTTTTAAAACGTGAGCTCCAGTTGTCCTTAGCCTTTGTGTTTAAATTGTTATCTCTAAAAGCTGTACGCTTTCCGTGTATGTCAAAGCATGCATTTCTCCATGTCATTAAGACGACACTATTAAATGTAGATTTGTGTCATGAATACTGATTCTATCTTTTACTTCGCAAGAGTTATTAATGAAAGAACAGATAGGATGCGATTGGTATCTATCTTAAGATATAACATTTTCTAACGCAGAAATATTCCCGTTTATCGAGTAAGGTAATGCAAAGGACATGCTTGGCTGTCAAAAGTACAAAATAGAAAACATAAGCAAACGTTTTCTATTTGAACTGTATGAGCGTCGAAAATCAATAGAAGAAATAAGTGCTGCCAAGATGGACATTCTTTATCAAGTACTGTATATACAGGAAGCAGAAGCAATGTGCATTCAAAAGATTTCAACCGAAAATTTTCCAAAATATTATCGGATTTGATACCACGATCACGCTTAAGTAATCTTTTCTAATCGATATAGCATTTTCGAATATCGGTCGCTGCTCATCACTTTTTGCGTCAATGAGCAATGAGAGGTCTAAAAATTGTCACGAGTCGAGGTATTTATCGGCTACATAAACGCCAAAACTCTGTCGGGATAGAGAGACATTTTTAGGTAAGTATTTAAGCCTTCTTCAAATCTTCAAAGTCTTAGTCTTATTATGGCGCACTTGTGTTTAGTACTACAATTTCAGCAATAAGTGTACCGGTTCTATCTATTCAGCTTCTGCGATTACTACTAGGGTTCTGCTTGAGTTTAGTTTTATTATCTGCCATCCGCCTGCGTATTCTTTAGCATATTCAAGGAATATTTTGATTCAAATAACCCTGAGTCGAGGTAAGAGAATTGAATACAGCCTAGTAAGTAATAGTAAAGCATCCAAATGTGGGCTACTTACCAACAGTGAATTGGCGCTTTGAAATCTGTCGTTTTAGCCGAAAGAGGGTCTCCTCAGTGTTCTTCTTCCCGGATTGATTGTTTAAATCAGACTGTTGCTGCTGCTGCTGCTGCTGAATTGCGGGTATCATATTAACCATTATTGCCATAAAGAGTAGAAGCAGACGCAGAGACAGAAACCGAGGCGACACCACCAGTCTGGTTGCCATCTCGCTCCCTCTCTCTCACGCAACTGTCCGCCGCTAAATGCTCAGCCCACTTTGGCGTTCTTTCCCCAGAGCCTCCGCAGTTGCGGCGGCGGCATCATGAGGATTATTCTCATCGTCGTCATCATCTCATCCTCTGGCGTATCGAGTCGCGTGTGCCTCTTTTTCCAACTCTCCCCTCCCCTCCCCTTTCACTCAATTGGCTGCTGTCACCAAAGGGGTGAGCAGTCGTCATCATCATCAGCGGCCGATCTGGTGTTATGACAAGCGTGGTCGCCGTGGTGGCGGC